GTGAAGTTATGGGGTCTGTGGGCACTGGGCTCTATTTTTCATCCTGGAAAAGCACATTATTATTATTCACATGTGAAGTTACATGGCTGCCAGAGGAAAGCTCAGAACATCCACCTGATAGAAGTGCAAGCACTACACTTAACACAGCAATTAACTTGAAGTAATTACAAAGAACATAGAAAATAAACTGAGCAGGAGCTTGTGAATGAGGCAAATGGCATTAAACCAGGTCAGCTCAGCTCTGCTCTTTGCAGCAGCTTCTTTGGACTGACCACAGGGGAGAAATGCTGGGCTTTTATTTCACTTTTATTATTACTATTATTGTTCAATGCTCAGTTGGGTGGATGGAGGGCAGGATCCCCAGACAGCAGAGCTCCCACCCACCTCCAGGGCTGCAACATCCCTCCCACGCAGTGTTTGTGCTCTGGGGTGAGGGAGCCCCACGGCAGCAAAACAAGAGTGTCCTGACCCCCCCCAAAAAACAGCCCAAGGCTGGGGAGGCCCCACTGGGTGCCAGGTCCCAGCACCCACCTGCACATGGGGCTTTATCCCCTCAAAACCCTGCTTTTATCACACTGGTTTTATACCCTAAATAAAACCAGGTTGCAGGCTCTCACTGCAACCAAACCGAGCTCCCCCGGTGTGTGAAGGCAGCCCAGGCAGATGGGAGTTAAGCTCTCCAAAATAACTCTGCAGTGTTTTGCAAGGCTGGGAAAAGGGGCAGGCTGTGAGAACACCCTCCATTAGTCACCTCAACAACAGCCCAGAGCAGCTCCCCTGGCAGCAAACAGAGCAGTGTTAGCACGGCATTAACATCGGCTGGGTTAAAAAGGGGGAGTTTAAAAGACAGGCTTCAACATGGAGCTTCTTACCAATAATCATTGCAGTGAATAGGTCTCTATATAAGAAATTAAACAGGAAAGGTGCATACCAGGCCTCAACTCCCACAAAGGCTGTCACTATGTAGACAATTGAAATGGTCTGAAAGAGAGCACAGGACAGGC